GGATAACAAAATCAAAGGATGCTCAAGTCTCTACAAAGTAACACAGCATCTGTATACAACCTACCTGCATTTATGCCTCCCTTATGCTGCGAATCCTTCCCAGAGGATTTATATTACCCTGGCACAATGTAAATGCTATATAAGCAGTTGTTATATGATTTAGGAAAATAGTGACAAGAAAACACCTTATACATGTACAATGCACATGCTCACTTTTCCCAAATATTTTTAGTCTGTAGTAAAAATGTAGATAGAGAAGGCCAGCTATACCTACTAGAGACATTGATCAATGCATATACAAATATGGGTTAGTTCTCCTAATATTACTTATGATAATAACACTATAGAATATGCTTCTTATAGTATAATTATCTTCTCCCAGCATACATAGGAAATTAGATTACTTATCCAAAGGGCAACATGTACTACTTTTAATTTTAAATCTCTTTTTCTACGAACCCTATTTCTTCAACTTGACCCAAGCTAGAGTCGCCTCAGAAGTGGGAATCTTGAGAAAAATACCCCTACCAGACTGGTCTGAAGAGAAAGAAGCTTTTAGGGGGGTATTTCCTTGATTTCTTTTTCTTTTGGGGGGGGGCAGGATTTCTTTGTGTAGCAGCCCTGGCTGCCCTGGAACTCACTCTGTAGATCAGGTTATCCTTGAACTCAGAGATCTACCTGCCTCTGCCTTCTGAGTGCTGGGATAAAAGTGTCTGTCACCACCCGGCTCTTGATTGATAATTTTAACATGGAATGGTCCGGCTCGCTGTACCACCTTTGGGCAGGCGGTGCTGAGTTTGTATAAGAAAGAAGGCTAAGCAAGCTACAAGGAGCAAAAGCCAGGAAGTAAGTAAGCAGCATCCCCCCCCCCCCACCGTGGACTCTGCATCAGTTCCTGCCAACAGGTTCCCGCCTTCACATCCGTTCCATGCCCCCAAGTCACTTTGGGCCATGGTGTTTCATTTATCACAATTGAAAAGTGAACCAAGATATTTGGTATCAGCGGAAATCTGACCAGTCATAGTAATTCTCTTGTAACTAGAGTACTGTGGCAGCTGTGCGACTTTAGCTTTTAAGGAATCTTCAGGAATCTGCGTCTTTGTATTTTACAGCGTTTGGCCCTGGCTCATGACCTCCTCCCACATTCTAAACCAGTGGGCACAGCATATTCTCTCTGTGACTCTTTATCACATGACCTCCCTGTCTCCTAACTGTAATTTCCCTCTCATAAGGCCATGCCTGACTACACTTAGAGTCCACCTGGATACTCAAGCATACATTCCGCATCATAAAATCCTTAGTGTAATCACATCAGAAACTGTTACGAATACCCAGGCACAGAACTGATACGAACATATGCCTTTATTTTTCTTGAGCAAATGACCAGAAATATCTGGGACTGCCACATCAAGATGGTGAGTACAGAACACTTGAGGAACTATCCAACTATTTTCCAAAGTGGCTATTATTCTGCACTCTTGCAAGTGACACAAGATGTCTACAGTTCTCAGCAACGCTTGATGTTGTCAATTGTTTGCATTTTAAGCACTTTAGGGAATTGACAGCACATGTCCTAATTACTCTACCGTGTACATCCCTGATGATGGATGACAAAGAACATCTTTTTCCTGTGCTGATTGGTCATTTATATGTCCTAACTAGAAAACCACTTACTAAGATGTTCTGCCTACTCAAAAAATTTTAGGTAGTAAGTACATCTTCCTACTATTGAGCTGTAATTTTTTTTTATTCTCCATTCTGATACAAGTCTTTGCCAGATGCATGTTGCTGTGATTTGAATGTGCCCCTTAAAGTTCATGTGCTTAACCCTCAGAGTAGTTAGTGAAGATGAGAGGTGATTTGGTTAATTGTCTTTTTCATGGGAGGAGGCTAGATATTCCAGAAGTTTCTGATAAAAGGAAGAGGATAAATCAACCTCTTTCCTTCTCTGTCATTAACGTCATGCTTGCCCCAAGTTAGAGCACTATAAGAAGGAGGCCCCTGCCAGAGGCATTCCCTTGGGAATTTCATCTCCATAACTGTCAAGAAATAAACTTCTCTTCCGGATAAATTATTCAGTCTCAGCTTTGCTCTTACAGCACTGCAACATTTTCCTCCAGTCTGTGGCTTTTCATTATTTTACAAATGTCTTTTCAAAAAGTCCATGACTTGATGAAATCTGACTTAATCATTTTTTTTCCTCTTACACCTTATGCTTTTTAATATTCTAAGGTGTCTTTGTCTATTCAAGGTCAAAAAATGTTCTTAAAATCCCTCCAAGTAACTCTCACGCGCAGCAAAGCTGAGAACTACTAGTCTGTGGGGAATGTGACCTAGCTTTCTTAAATTAACCTGAGTTTCTGCCAGAGAAAATTAGAACACTAAAAGTAAATTAAGAACAAAGTTAACCAGAAAAACAAGGGTACAATCAAGAGCTGTAGGACCGCCTGAGCAGACCAGCTCCCAAGCTGAAGTGTCTATCAAGGGCTAGAATAAATGAGCTGAGAGGTGCCCTAGGTGTCCCCGCCAGGTGAAAGGACCACGTCCCCTGTCCTCCCACCTGTGGGAAGTAGCATACCCACGATTATCGCAGTCTGACTGATACAACGGGAGAAATTATTCCTCTTCCATGTGGGGTTGAGAGTCACCAGTTTTGAAGCTACCACATTAAATAAATGAAGGTGGTAGTAATAATATTTACCCAAACTTTGCTTCCAACAGGGGTCAGACAGACCGAGCTTTCATTAAATGGAGGAGATGTCAGGAGCCCCGAATGGACTCAAGTTTCCCGAGAATCCTAGACAAAGTGGGTCTGTTTCTTAGCTGTGGACAGGAGGCTACTTTCCAGATGTTATATTTAGCTTAAAGGAATCTCTAACACGGCTTTGTGCAAAGTATATAGTGTGTCCCAGTAGGTATAACCACAAGCCAGAGGGCCAGTAGGGAGTATCCCTTAAGAGGGTTCAGCAGCATAGAGGGGTCAATTGTGTAGTCAAACTGACAACCCCAAACGAGTTGAATTAGCTACAAGTCAGATTCTTGGCCATAACTCACATTTAATGAGTCTTTGTTTCCTTTCTTGCTCGCCCGGGGAGACAACCCTGAGCTGCTAGCCCACATCAGGTAAGGGGAACAATAGAGTTAATGTTTTTGGGAGATTTGCAGCAAAAGAAAATGTTAGTCCTACTCCCTAGGTGACTTTCTATGGCAAAGAGCAAGGCCGCTCCCTTGCACACCACAGCTACACTTCCTGAGAGAGAGCATGCAGACGAAAACCCCAGCTTCTAGATCCAGATGACAGGGTTATAACACACATCAGCCTCCCTGCTTTTTTTTTTTTTTTTTTTTTTTGCCTTAATGTCTTTAAGTCTTAGTTTCCTCTTTTATAGAAAAGATAACAGTAACTAAAAACACATTGTAAAAATTAAAGGTGATAATATATATAAAAATGTTTGGCATAATTTTTGGCACAGATGGAATTTAAAAAGCTGACTTTTCTTATCATAACCTTTGTCACTAAATTTCATAGCCTGACAAAAACATGGGTATCAGCGGTAAAATCAGAAATAAAAGTACCTTTTCTGAAGCCCATGACTCTGAAGAAACAGACTTTGGTTTTTGCCACTAAATTCAAATTAAGTACACAGAATAGCACTCAATCCTTTGTTCGGGCCAGGAATGGAAGAAACCCTACACTAATTCCAAGTCTAATCAAATTTGAAACATCTTCTAATGTTAAGTAGGAAATTGATTAAGAACTATAACTACAACAGACAATTCTGACTATTAGACTATTGTCTCACTTGGCCTCTTGACTAATACTGGATGCCATCATCTAGAAGCCAATGAATAAATAGCTGTATATGTCTTCTGTCTATGACATTCACTTTCTTGAAATTCTCTGAGGAAAGTCGGACATGGTCTATGTGGTGGCTCGAATAGGAATGGCCACCATAATCTCATAGGTTTGAATGCTTGGTCATTGCGGAGTGACACTACTTGAGTGTGTCTAGAAAGTGTGATCTCACTGGAGTAGATGTGGCCTTGTCAGAGGAAGCGAGTCACGGCGGCTGGGGGTGGGGGTGGGGGGCGCTTTAGGGTTTTGAAAGCCCAAGCCAGGCCCAGACTCTCTTTTCTTGTGGTCCGTGGATTCAGATGTGAGACGCTCAGCTCCCTCTCCAGCATCATGTCTGCCTGCATGACACCACGCTCCCGACGAGATGAAAATGGACTAAACCTCTGAAACTGCAAGCAAGCTCCAGTTAAACACTTGCTTCTATAGAAGCTGCTGTGGCTACAGTGTTGCTTTTCACAGCAACAGAACACTGACTAAGACGACCACTAAGTGCAGCAGTCAGGGTCTCTGCTACCATTGATAGCCAAATGAAAGAATTACTCCACTGAGACAGTAAGAAAAGGGGGTTCCTGAGTCCCCAAGAGGTAAGTTCCAGCACTAACACGAGAAGGAATATTTGACAAAAATTACTTAAGATTATGACACTTATTTTCAGTTTTCCTTTGGTCAAATTGCTCAATCTATATACGCTAAAGCTTCAGGAAGCAGTAAGGTGTCCATGCTAAGAATAACCAAATCCTTGAGACCAACTGGCTAAGACAGAACTTGGAACGAAAACTAAATTCAAAATATAAACATATAGGAATTAGTAAGTGCACTAGATGAGAAAGCATCACACAACATTAAAGAGCCCTAATTCCCAAGAGTTTTGCAAAGCACAAAGGAAGCTGCCAGAACAGAATCAATTATACAAAACTGATGGACAATGGCGCTGGTCCATGGCTGTGTCTTCCCAGGATTAGCAATTCAGTTCAGTGGGTTAAGAAGTCTGCCACTATGAACATTCTTTTTCTTTAAGACTATGTGGTATAGAACGGTCATGGAGAACCCGTTAAGCGAAAGAAAATATCCTTTCTCTTATTTACAAAGCTGTGCGACTGCTCCAGCCAGGAGCCCTTGTGACTAGGAGCATCTATCCATATACCTTTTTGAAGAGTCTTCCTGAGTCCTCGCTGACTTGAACAAATCGAGGGATTATATTATTCAGGTAGATGTCACTCAGCGTGGTATGATCCCTGCTCTCCCGCTTCACCTGGTTTAAGAGGAGGTTCCAGCAGTTTACTGGAGAGAGAACATTCTGGTCTTTCCTGCAGAGAAATGGAAGGAAAAAAAAGTGTTAGTAAGCAGGCAGGGCTAGCAGCTACAGTTATAGTTCACATCACAAAATCACAGTGATCAAAGCAGAAGTAGAAACAAAGAGATCTTCCCTAGAGCCTGCTGCTATGTTTGATGGGAAATGCTCCCTGCCCGGGCATGTGTTTATATACTTTTCGTACCCCAGCTACTATCTGGGGAGGTTGGCTTAGACAGGGGAAGAGGGTCCCCATGGGAGTGACACTTAAGGTCTATAGGCCAATTCATCTTAATGATTAGAAATCTGAAGCTCACAAGAATTGTCATTCTCTCCGCAAGTGTAAGCGGAAACCAGAGAGCCACAGATCTGTATCGTCTGTCTAGGGATACATCAAACTGCCTCTCCACAGTCCACGCACGTCTAGAGCTGAGGTCATCTGGTTTATCTTCAGGGTCAGAGACAAAGCTAAAGAGCTTATCTATCAGAGGGGCTGGAGGGATGGCTCAGTGGATAAGAGACTGGCTGCTCTTGCAGAGGACCTGGATTCAGTTCCCAGCACCCTCATCAGGTGGTTCCCAACCACTCCTAACTCTGGCTCCAGGGATCTGACAGCTCTTCTCACATCCATGGGCACCTACACTCATGTGTACAAACCCATACACATACATGCAAGTAAAAGTAAATACAATGATCTTAGCAGAGACAGAAATCTCTGGAATACTAGACTAAAACCTCTACAAGTTTTCCCACAACAGTTTTTTATAGAGAAACACTGAAGATTATCTGCCATGAAAAATTCACAGAAGCCTGTCTAGCCCCATACCACACATATGAAGAGTTCTTTGTTTTTGTTTTATTTATTTATTTATTTATTTATTTATTTATTTATTTATTTTGGCATCATTGACTGGACCATAATCTCAAGCCCCATATAATTAAGAAAACAACCTTATTTGAGTATATGTATTCCTAACATTCATGCTTCGGTAGAACCATAAAGTTCTAAACCTTTACTCAAATGAAAGCAATGTGATTCCCAAAGCATATAAATCAACTGCTCAGTTTGCAGTACTAATTTGAACAGCTATACACCTAGAAGTTGGGTAAGGGATACTATGTGTTTAACTTGGCTAGATCCTTTACACTGCTGTTTAAACCCCACAACTGGTCAAGAGGTATCTGAAATTTGAGGAGAGACAAAGCAAGAAGAAACGTTAAAGCTTTTTTTGTCTAAGAAGTGTCACTAAAAAGTGGACATGCAGAAATTGACATGCCTGTAACTGCAAAAGGTGCCTTTACCCACAGAAAGGAATCAAGCGTGGAAATTCACTCCTTTTCTCTCCCTTCCCTCCAGTCAGAACTGTATGCTGCAGAGAGTAGTATTGTCTCCATCAGAGCTGGAGGCTGCCAACTGCAATCTGCAAAGCTCAGGGCTCAACTCAGAAGTTTTCCAATTCTGCAGTCATAGCTATTAACAAATAAAATCACTACACTTCGCTGAGCTTCAGAACACTCTAGACCAGCAAATCAAATACTTATCTAAAAGAAGCTGCTTCAAACTAGTTAACTCGAGTCCAAACTGAAACTCTTCTAAGCACAGCCCCCTATCTCCTCCCATCATACTCTTTCAAGACAAAATTGCTAATGTTAGGTACCAACCACTGCACTTTATTATGACCAGTACCTTTCTAGGGAAATAAAGACTTCTGTGGAAAATTTAAAATGTACTAGCTAAGTGGAAAAGGATATATATAATTAGTCTATTCCCTCTGGAGGAGCAGCCAGTCCCCTTAACCACTGAACCATCTCTCCAGCCCCCTAGAAAGTACTATTTAAAAAGGGCTGGCAATATGACTTAGTAGGTAAACCCGATAACCTGAGTTTAATGTCTGGATCTCACAGTGTTAGGAGACGATCGACTCCCGAAAGTTGTCCTCTGACCTCCAGTGAGCTATGACATATGAGTACACACATATACAATAATAATTTCTAAAAAAAGACACAGTTTGAACAGTACATTTTCTTTTTCAGGTCATTTTTCTTGACAAAATATCTGTGCCTTCAGTAAGTACAGAATACACCAAGCTTTTACACACGTTCTAAAAGGGGAAGGCCTTATAAGACTCAAGTGTACAATTGGTTCTGACCTGCTTCTTATGAGAACATATAGGTGGCTTGGTGGTCTATGCTGGGTTCACGGTAGACCATGGATAGCTGGCCATTTCATATCCAATTGTTACAATGCTAATAAATGTTAGGGTTCACAGAATTAGTATTTATAATGGGAATATTTATGGCTTGATTTTAAAACAAAAATATTATTCTTTTGCAAACATGTAAATCAATTTAAAACTATACCAAGAGTATAGTTACTCGTGTATGAACTCGAAATTGTTTTGGAGGGATGGCAAAAGTTTCTATGGATTGAACCAGTGTCTTGCACATGCTAGGCAAGTATTCTCCTGTGGAGCTATATCCCCATCCCGCAGAAGTTTCTTAATAGTGAAGAACTTAACTAAAACCAGAATTAATGTTGATGATGAAACTATACAACTTTTATTCACAATTCTGGTATGAATATTTTTAGTTCATAAACACAGTCTCACTGTTCATAAGAATTCATTCTAATCAACTCCAAAATTCTGTATTTTAAAAGTGCATACACACACGCACGCGCACGCACGCGCACAGGGAGGAGGTTATTTCTTTTAAGGCAATGCTGACGCAAGCAAGGGGAAGAGAACGTGGGAAGAATGAAACACAAGTATACTATGCAGGCAATTTTCCCAGCCAGCAAGAACAAAGCCGCAACACACTTGAGGTTGGGAAATAAGCAAACCAAAGAAACGTGCTTTTATAGCGTGTTGCAAGGCTCTACGTGGATAGCTTCCTGCTCGAGTCGTTTTGCAGGTGTATTTGATTTGGAGTTGATGAAGCTGAAGGAACTTCATTAGGTTAGGAGATTAAAATTTGTCTCTGTATCTTTTCCGTCTAGCATCTGTGTACAATGTCTCTGCTTTTCCCTGCCCCTCACCTCACCCAACTCTCAGTCTCAGGCTGTATAACGCCAGGACTCTTAAAGCAAAGGGTCTGTAGCTCTCAGGATGTACTGAACACAGCTGTGAACCCCATAAACACTAGTCCCTAAGAAGTAGGCAGAACATCCAAAGTATCTTTCTTACTTAAAAAATGCAGGAAGATCAAGAAAATACCATACTGCGTTGCAGAAGAGATGACTAGTCAAAAGAAATCCAGAAAGTCATAAGCCAGTGTGCATGCACAGAGGGGATTATCACTTACAAAGGCGCTGGACTAGACAAACCCGTGCAACTGAATCATGAACACCAATTTGAGGACACGAGCCTAGTTTTCCTCCCTCAATCAAGATTACATCTATGGATGCTCAAACACTTAACAGACTTCTAAGATGGCCAAGGAAAAGCAGCACCATGAGCATAAAATCTCTACATTATGCATTATTGCTCTCCGCCCACCCCTGTATTTCCTCTGGTTGCTTCAATAAGCTCACACACAAAATCAACACTTGTCCCATCAATTTCCCACCAGCTCATCTACAAAATGGGGAGTCCCCATCTAGCTCCTGAAAGATCTTCAATAGATCACGGCTAAGTTCCCAGAAGCTCCTCCAGTCTGGAATGGCAATTAATTAATAGCATCTACATTTACGGCTCTGCAGAGTACAAGTTTGGTGTTAGTGGATGGCTTGATCTTCTGCATTGTTGTACTGAAATTTTCTTCTGGGTCCACAATCCATTATGTGCCCTTTCTCAAGGCTGTTGTAGACCAGCTGCGATGATGGACGCAAGAGAACTTTACCAACAAGAAACACTATGCAAATGTGAGAAATATTATTATTTTCGTATCCAAACAAATGAGGACTTAGCTTTCATCCGATTCCAACATGTTCCTCAACAGATACTGGGCCACAGCCAAGAATGCAGCCTGCTAAAAGTGCATAACCCTTGGCAAATCACAGTTGGGATAAGACGGTGACAGGCAATTAACCAAGCAGCTGCATGTCTCTGGGAAGATACCAAAAGGGAAGCAGACTTCAATATTCCACTATACTTTCCCAAAGAGGCAAGGTAGAACAATGGTCCTGTGCTCCTCAGTGGGCACTGCGTGCTGAGGTTGACAAAGAATTCAAAAGGAGCCCAGAATCCCAGATGCACCAGCAACTTCCAAAACCCCAAAACAGAGTCCCTCTCAGACCTGCCAATTTTTAAAAAGCTGGCAATTGTCAGTGCATCTAAGAATATAATTTCTCACTTTTCGATAACAGTTCTGCAACGACAGACTAAACTCTGAATGAGTTAAATTCATCATTCAGTGTATGTTATTAAGTCTCCAATGGGGGGGGGGAAGGTATGTGCATGATAAAAGAGCTCATTTAGTGATGGCTTGACAGCAAACTAGTGATGAGAAAGAGGCTGAATGCAAAGAAATAAAATAAATAAAAAATGCAAACCTAAATTCCCTCCTGGCACCTTGATGAAAATGAAAAGAACTGAAGCAGTCACAGATTATTTTATTCAGATGAGTGTTATTAGCCTTTCTGGCTTATTTTCTTTATTATGCATTTTGCTGACGCTGACAGAAACAGGCAAGCTTGATAGAGGAGGAGCCGCAGCGGATTTGTGGTCTGACAGTGCCGTGCATAAAATCAGACCCTTGCTGACCCAGATAAGGCAGAGAGGATGGTCTGGATTTGCTAGGGAAGGTGTTAAAAGGAGGGGAGAATTTAAAAATTAAATCACCAAGGCAGAAACTGACTTAAAAGGATTCTGCCTGTAATTGTGGCTGCTGGTTGTGTGACAGTGGCCGCCTGAAGGTACCTTTCAAAGACAGGCAGGCAGACGGGGAGGGGGGGTGGGGGGGCACATTTCTCCGGACTGATCCCAGCTGTAGCTTCAGCTTTGCCAACAATGAGATCAGAGTGGGAGTGGTCAGAGGCAGGGGCAGAGAAGAACCAAAAGCAAGACCAACGTGCAC